ACAATTATTGATTAATCATGCTGATGATTTATCAGTATGATTTATGGAAGTGACAAATTTCATGTTATTTTAGCAATTTCAAATTCTTTGCTTTCCATGTAGATCCATTATATATTTCATTGGGATATACCAGAGGAACAGAAAAAAAGGGGGGGAATGGAATGACAATCGTTGCATTAGCTTAAATTTTAGTTATGATTATTATTAGGTATGTGATTTTAATTATCAGGGTCACATATTGTTCAGTTGACGATACACTTTATGATAGTGATAGTATCTGTGATAAATATAAAATATCATTCATTTGATTGTTCCATTTCATCTATCATTTCATTCTACCACCGAATGATTTGTACTTAATTAAAATTTTAGTTAAAAAATTTAGTTTTTCTTTTCGTTCAAATTTTAAAAATTTTATTTAACATTTCTGGAAATATACATGTATATTCAACTCAATTACTGCCATTTTTGAAAATTCGAATAATTTCATATTCAGAAGCGATTTTTTTTGTTTTTTTTTTTTGGAAAAGTTTAGGCAAAATTAAGAAAAGGCTAAATTGTAAAATTATATTCATAGTAATCTTCGTTTAGGATATCCTCTGGTCAAGGAGGTGAAACTTGAACCCTTACGAATTGAACAGTTATGAAGGGATGGCTTATGCTTGTGGTAGGGCCTACCATGCTAGGCAGGTCACAACTGAAGGATGAGGCCACTAGCCCTCCGGCAACCATTTTACAAAAAGACAATTCGAACTCCAAATTCTGGGAGGTGAAACTTCGGTTAGGTCTATAAGGCCATCATTCACCTAAGAGAAGGGTACTCCAACAAAACATACATCCTGAGGACTTTGCTACCTAACGCGCTAAGCTTTGGTAGATGAACTCTAGAAGTAAAGGATGATGCCAGTTTTATTTATGCTGTGTCTCACTTGTCTTACCTAAGAAATTCACTGCGCAGACTGAAAGGTCACATATTTGTACTGTGTGCAATAAGCATAAGTAGAGAGAGCCTTTCGCAAATCTTGGTCTGCGAAGCCAAGCTATGACGATGAGTAATGATAATAAGGTAATAAATAATAATAGTAAATGATGATGATGATGATTGATGATGATGGAAATTTGTTTGAAATGCTGTTACAGTGAGAGTGGAAAAATTTATCAATCCATCATCATTATCGCTTATCCTTTGCATCTTCTGAATTCTTATTTTCATGCAGCATTTCGATTAATTCATGAATGGAAGGATAATGAATTGTTAACCAACCATTACTTTAATTAATGCTTTGAATATTTACAATAAACAATAACAGTTTGCTATGGTTTATTGTTATTAAATTAAATGAATTATTTCCAAATCGTCCTTCCTTTTCTTTTCTTTTTATAACTTAAATTTAATGTCTTCTAAATAAGGTATTATAAAATAATAACGATAATTATTGTTATAATTATAATTATAATTATCATGACAATAATAACAATGATAATAACAACAACGACAAACAATAATAACATTGACAGCAATATTAATAGCAGTAACAATAACAATAGTAACAAGAACAACAGCAATAAAAATGATAAAATTTGACATCGAAAATGAAAAATGATTGCGGTATAATAAATATATGGACATGCGAAGAATATATTAGATAAGTAACAACAATAACAACAACAACAACAGTGACAACAATAACAATAATAGCAATGGCAACAACAACAATAACAATGACAATTACAGTAGTAAAGATAATTACCAAAAGGTGAAGAAATAATAAAATTAGAAAAAAATTTTGCAGCAATAGTATTAACATGTCAGATTAGTGAAGTAATGTTAAAATAGAAAAGGAATTAATTATTTGGATGTTGATGTTTATCTCATAGAAGGGGTTTGGCCTTGACTATATAATAAGAATGAAAAAAGAGCCAAGAGAGGAAGAAGAGGAGGAGAAAGAAAAGGAGTAGGAGGAGAAGACTGGATGAAAAAAAAAGCATTCTAATGCCTAAAAGCAGTAGTAGCAAACAGAACTAACTCGTAAGCAGTTAGTTAATAGTTGATCATTTTGTGTGGAATTCATTTCGGTTTTTTTTTCTTCTTGTCCTTCTTCTTTGTAACCTCTTACCTCTCTTGACCTGTCCTATTTTTACTTGGCTAATTTATTTTGATGAAGGTATAATACAAAAAGAAAAAAAAGTGGAATTACTCTTGAGATAAAAGGAAAACGATGCGTGAAATATCATCAAGTGATAATTATTATCCGGAACATATATTACCCGGTAAATCAGCATCAACATCAACAACATCTTCATTGGAACCACGTGCTCGAAGTATTAGTACGAGTAGTATGCCAAGTGTTTCTTTAACACCATTTCTTTCATCCAGTCGACATCGTTTACTACCACAAATACCAACACATCATATACGACGTTCATCATCACCCCGAGTTCTTCCAATACCTCCTCCATTATCATCCCGATCCGCTACAACCGCATCCGCTTTCTCGCTTCAACATTGGAATTTCGAGCAGCGGCCATCAACAACCGGAAGACGTCTTCCGCAAACACCAATTCCTGAAGATTCGGCACGATTACTTACTAATCGGAAGAATGCATCATCAAGACAATGTTTAACTACTGTCAATGATGGTAGCAGTGGTAGTGGTGGTGGTGATGAGGATGATGATAATAATGATGATAACATTGTCACCGGTAATACTGATGATAATGAATGGCCATCACCAACAATTGTACAACGGAAATTTTCCGATTTACGAAAAGTCTCGCGGAATGATAATAATTCAGCATCAACGCTCTTTGAACATATTACATGTGATACTTCGTTACGATCATTACAACGATTATCATTACTGAAGCAGCAGCAACAACAACAACAACATCGTCATCATCATCATTATCAACAACAACAACAACAACACCTGCAACAACAAGGAGGAAATTTTGACCAACAACAATATTCTTTAGATCATTCAAGTGGTACTTCAACTAGTACAAATGCTTATTCACAAAGCTCATCATTATCACCATCCGTTGAACAGGTTTAAATCAATCAACTTTAATCATCTTGTATAATTTGAAATTGTAGGAATTTTTTTAAATCATTCAAACTCAATTAGTCAAATTTTTTTTATTTTTTAAATCATTCAAATATAAATTTTATTCAAATAAAAACATATTGATTTATCAGGAGTTGAAAATTAAATTATTTCAAAAATAGACTACAAAAGAATGTAAAAAATTTAAATATTACTAGCAATTATAAATATCGTCGAGAGAAATTATAACATTTAAAAATGAAAAACAGAAGAGAAAATATTTGATTCTAATTTTAAATGTTTATTTTTCTAAAGATTATTTTGTTAGCTCTATTTTCCTCATGTTATTATATTTAATTTTGAAGAAATTATATTAATAAACATAAGTGTTGTACTTTTGACCTCATTTTCAAGGAATTTTCAAGATGTTAAAGAGGAATTAGAAATGTTTTATTATTATTGAAGCACTATATGATATAATCTTTAATTAAATACTATAATTGTGCAACTTCAATATTTTTAATTAAATTTAATATCTGAAATTAACAAAACCTCTAATGTCTGAAATCTTTCATTCTTTAAATTATAAATTCTATTTCATTAATCATAAATGATAAAAACTTATTCTCCTTCATTCTTTTTAAATCCCACGCATATTTCAATGTAAACAATATGAATATTTCAATTTAACACTCTTTCAAATGAAGTAATTCTTTTTTCTTTTTAATAACAAGTACAAATTATTATATTTGTTGGAAATGCTTTTCCAAATACTTCACATTCATCCGATCAATGCATTTTAATTTACTTCTACTTACCAATCACTTTTAGCAAAAAACTCGAAATTTTTTCCATTTACGAATTTGAATTTAAATGAAGTAAAATTTTATGTATTTAAATGTTATTTTAAAATCTGATACATTTTTACTTTACTTTTATCATTTCATGCATCAAACTTCGCTTGAAGATTTCCAATAAATTTATGAATATTTTAGCATTACTTCGTTTTAGTTGCATTTATACAACACATTTCTCTCAATGCTCTTACATTTATTATAAATATCTGATATTGTGGCATTTTTATTGCTGTTTTACACATTTTCAATTGATTAGAAATAATTTTTTTCTTTTTTTTTATTCCGTTGAAACAATCAAACTTTTACCATTTGTGGAATATTTTATTATTAATGAAATATCATATACCTGTTATATCGTGCTTATATTTAATGAAAAAACAAAAAAGAAAAATCCCAATAATATTTCATAAGATGGAAGAAATTAGAAAGGCGTTAAATTTAATGATACATAGATGAAAGCTGTAAGGAATAATAATGAGAACGAGGAATTTAAATTGTCAATTCTGCTTATTTGTTAACGACAATCTTCCATTTTCTTCTTTATTGCTTAACAAATGTACTTTCTTTTCCTTTCCTTTTTCCAACTTCTCTTTGTTTTTTTTTTATTTATTTTCAGCATTCAGTAATCATTAATTTTAAGTAAATTTATCAAATTTTATAAGATGAAAAAAGAAGGAAAAATTGAAGAAATTTTAGTCTTTTTTTTGCTTAAACATTTCAAATAAACAACTCGAAAATGAAATGCTTTGGTGAATTTTGAATTGTTTAAATTTTAAACCATTTCCTCTTGAACATTTCCAAAGCCATAATTACACAAGAAGTTTCATAAAAAAATAAAAAAAAATGAATACATCCAAACTCACTCAGTTTATTTTTTTTACTTCTACAAATTATTTTTTTTAGCAAAATAATAAATTATAAATTGAAAGTTTAACTTTCGCTCAAATCAAATAGGAAAATGATAATTAATTATTTCATATTGTAAAGTCATTTCCAAAAAAAAAAACAAAATTCTTCAGTGAATTTTCAAAATAAACACAAATCCCGCATCAGTAGTATTTTGCCAAGTTGAAATGATATCTCCTTCAATTCCTTCTCTCCATTTTTTTCTTATTAGTCTAAAATAAATGGAAAAATTAGGGTTGAACACAATAAAACAAAATAAAATAAAAAACAAGGAAAAGTTGACAAAAAAAAGAGAAGCTAACCCAAATGAAATTGAAAGCATAGGAATGACAAAAATTGGAGAATATGTGGTCTGCTCTTAAAGCTTCCTTTTGCATACCACTTTGGGTAGGTTTAATTGATTTCGTCTTGTTTCTTTTCCTATTGCTATTTTATTTGATTTTACTTTTTTTATTATTATTGTTATTTGCTCAAACAATAACAATAAACATTATTGTTATTGCCATCATTATTACTACTGTTATTGCTAAATTTGATAGCAAAAAAATATTTACTTCCTTCTTTCTCGTCCTTCTCCTTTTTCTTTTTCTTTTTCTTTTTTTGCTTTTTTCTCTCTTCCTCTGTTTTGCCTTAGTTTTCTTAACAGAAAATTTGTGTATTTATTTATTTTTAATAGAAACTTTAAAAAAAGTTTTAATAAAAAGAGAGAAAAGAAAAGAAAAATTTGACTTTCATTTTCTAAATCACAAAAATCGATAATTCATATTTGAATAGTGCAAGCATCAAAATTGGCAAACTTTCTACTTCACTGATAAATGATGATGATGATGATAATGATGATGATGATTGGATTTTTTTAAAAAACTTTGAGAATGACGAGAAAAATGAGCGAAAATTTTCAGAGTAGTTTAGATTGTGATTGAAATTACAACAGATTGGACATTTCTTGAATTTTAGTTAAAATGCCTCTTTGCCGTCTTTTAATTCTTCTTTATATGTTTAGTTCTTTAAAAAAATCAAAAAATGAATAAATATTTAAAAGATGTAAAGTGACAAATATTTGTTTAAAAAAAATAAATAAATAAATAAACAAGAATACAGGGAAAAGATTAAAAATTCATAGATTCTTTTAGAAAAAAAGGAAAATCCATGCAAGAAATATTCGTAGTGATAAAAAATAATATGAAATGATAAATTGTTATAAATTATTATTGCTCGGATATAATATTATTATATTATATATTATCATTGTTACATAGTATTATTATTATTCTGGTATATATCGTAACTTAATAGGTAAATAATATTTATTATTGAGATTTATATTTTCGTTCTTTTTTCCAGGAAAAAAACATTAAAAAAATATCGGAAATTTTATAGGAAAAATTTTTTCCAGACATTTAAAAAAAAAAAATCAATACTTATTTTTTCCTTGCTTGATAATTTTCTGGGAGAAATCATCGTCATTGTTAATTTTTTTCAAAAAAAAAAAGGAAAAAAAAGAAAAAACCCATCCAATTTGAAGCATTATGTTTGATAATATTAGTGATGAAAATTGCAAAAAAAAAAAAAAAAGGAGTGAAATATCCATTTTAGGCTAACATTTTCATCCATTTTAGGCTAACATTTCCATCCATTTTTTCGTTTTCTCAAAAATACGATTGGGAAACATCTTTTTTTTCCCCATATTTATTCATTTTTTTATTTTTTCAAAATAAAACAAACTTTTTGAAATAAAATAAAGAAAGATCTATAATTGTCAATTTTATTTACATGCTTTTTTTTTTTTTTACTTACAGATATATATATGTATATACATAAGTGTCGATGAGGAAGAATTTAATTGATATACGTCACAGAAAATTTCAAAAGCTTTCAATGATTCATAAGGGAAAACAAGGCGGATATAGTGAATTGACGAAATAATTGAATTTCTAAGCACGAAAAAAGACACCCACTCAATATAGATCAAAAATCACAAACATTATTTTCAAAGCTAATTTAATAGCTTACAAATAAAGCTATTGTTATTTAGTTATTTACATACTTTTAGTTTAACAATTAAGTTAATTACATCAATCATTTAACAAACAATGTTTAGTTGAAAGTAAAAAAGAAAAAAAGAAGGATATAAATGATAAGCATCTTCTTGTTTCATTTCCTTTCATATAAATGATGCTCTTTTTTGATTCTTGTTTTCTTTTTTTCTCTCTGTTAATTTAAAAATTTAAAAAATTGAGTAAATATATTTGTGAAAATAGGTAAGCAAAAAAAATTTTTTTTCTTTAATAATAAGTTTAAATGCTTTAAAATAAGTGATAAAAAAAAAGAAGAGGAAAAATAAATGAAAAAATAAAGAAAAAAAAATCAAATAATACTTTCTATAACGTATATTGTTTTTGTTGGTGATATTTTCTCATTTTAATTTTCTCTTTCCAAAAAAAAGAAAAACCAATTTCTTTAAAAATTTCAATCATATACTACTGTATGTTGTGTTTTATAATTTATAAAGTTTTAATATTTTACACTTTGCTTATTTGTTTTTCTAAACCCAATCATCTTTCTTCACTTTTTTATTTTTTTTAAAACTTTTTCATCGGGTTTTTTTTTTATGTTAAACATCTTTCGTAATATGAGTATGACTGATTGATGATTTACATCATGGCTTTTTCTTTTCTTGTTTTTTGCATTTATAAACCCATTTTCTAAATCCATAAAAAGTAAATTTTTATTTCTGGGAAAGAAAAAACGCTTTTTTTTAAAATAATTTGTAAAAAATCAGGCAAAACAGCGCATCGTATTTGTGCTACAAAATTCTGTTCATGCAATAATTCATGGATGAATAAACAAATCGATTGTCTGTTTATTTATTTATTTAATTTGTTTATTGGTTTGTTCGTTTTTTGTTTGTTTGGTTGTTTGTTTGTTTGTTTGTTTGATGGTTGGTTTGTTTATTTGTTTTCTAAAAAAAATTTTCATTAAATTTAAAAAAAAAATGAACACGAAAAGTTTGTTATCAAGCATAATTAAGTATATCATAGTAATTCTTCATTCATTTCTTTTTATAAATAAACTCTTTTTTCTTTTTTTTTAAATTATATATTTATTAAATTTCTCATTTCATAAATTTACTTCGCTTCATTTATTTATTTGTTTGTTTATCTTAAAATACTTATTTTTTCTTTGCTCACTTTTTGTTCCATTTTTCTTTTTCATTTCCACTTTTTCGTACATTCACTTCAAGAATTTGCTTATTCCACTTTTTGAATTATCCATTCAACTATTCCAATTTCCAAATCTATAATCAATTCTTAATTCGGTTGCTGCTAACATACATAGTTATATATGCCTAAAATTTCCGGTTCATTAATTTAATATGATTCAAAGAACTTCTCTTTTTCATTTATGCGTGTGCTAATTTTAAGACTCAAATTTTGCATTTGATTTATAATACAACTTAAAATAAAAAGGTGATCATCAACGTTTCTTCTTCCGTTTTTTTTATTCCCTTTTTTGTCTCTTACGATAAAATGAAGTCACAGGTCTATTTCAATTTTTCATTCTTTTTTCTCTAAAAAAAGGCTTCTAATCAAAATTTTTTTATCATTTCAATAGCTAATAGTAAATGACAAGTAAATAATAAATAGCAAGTAAATTACGGCTTGGTTTTCATACTTAAACCTCATTTTGTTAAATTTCACTGGCATTTGCTAAATTTTTATCACCACATTTCAATTGTCTAATATTACTTACATACTTGCTTACCTACTCTAAAAATTGATAATATTTATGAGGTTTCTGACAAATATCTAATTAAATGATAACATTTCATTTGATATTAATATATATTTAAATTGACATTAATTATTACAAGGGAACCAGTTCAATCATCTGTCAAAGAAAGAAATGGAAATTTAATCGATACACGAATTATCTATTAACTTTCATCTTGTCAAGTACTTCAATTTACTTCCTCCGAGAAATGAGTGTGTGTGTGTGTGTGTCTGTCTGTCTCTGTCTGCGTGGGTGTGCCACTTTCTAACATTTGTTCCTTTTTAAGCTTTTAAGACAAAATACTACAGCAAAAAGGAAAAACGAACAAAAAATCGTTTAATCGTATACACATTCATATATATGCAAATATCAATTTTAGAATTTCCGGAAATGCAAAAAAAAAAATGAACGGAAATAATACTTTGATTTTATATTATATATATACATATATATATATATATATATATATATATATATATATATATATATATATATATATATATATATATATATATATATATATATATATATATATATATAGTAT